AAGAACAGATGGAAGAGGACATTGCAGCGTCCTCCCTTTTTGAAGATGATGGGTTCCCCGGTCAGCCTTGACTAAGGACTCACTGCGCAGATATGAATGGAGGCTCCTTTCCTCAGGAGCCGGTATCTCGTATTTTGTATCGTATTTTCTCCTTGGTTGGAGGTATGACAAGTGAGGTCTTCCTTGGAACTTGGAATCTCAACAGCCTTTCGGACAAGCTCAATATGGTTCTCAGTATGGGGTTCTCCATCCTTGCTTTACAAGAAACCCGTATTGACTCTCGCAAAGCTCTCCTGTTTGGCAAGTGCCCGGTTTGGAAAAAGAAAGGCTGCGGCAAAGTTGGTCTGCATCACAAGCAGTGCCCTGGAGTGGCGGTCGCCATCAAGAAGGAGATTCCGGCCCACGTGGGCCCGTCACCTACAAGGATGGAGTACTGGCACGAGCAGGGAAGATTCCTGGCTGTCAACTTCTTCGACGGTACCACTTGGAGGACGCTTTGGAATGTTTATGCCCCTGATGACCCGCAGAAGAACTTCCAGTTCCTGCGGGACCTCGCCGCCGATGCACAGGAGGTACAACCTCACTCCATTGCTGGAGACTTCAATAGTCCCTTACTGTGGGGGTCGGACATGGACATCCTCTTCGTGGACTTGTATTCCAAATTGACGGACATGCTTGGTCCCGATCCTTACACTTTTCAGAGAGCTCACTCCAAAACGAAGATTGATGACATTATTTGTCACAAAGACGTTCGAATGGAATTCGGTCCTCCAATCACGTTCTTCCCCTACGACAATGGGCACGCCATCATTTCGACCAAGCTCAATTGGAACGCTGAGGTGCATCAGTACTTGCAGATTGAAGGATATCACATCAACGAGCAGTGTGGAAATCACGCCGAAGTGTGGGATGAGTTGCAAGATGAATGGTGTGCAGCCTATGAGAAATTCGATGTGGATATGTGCTGGTCCATCTTCGCCTCAACTATGTCTCGTTTCTGGAACGGCCACACCAACTTCAAGAGAGTCCCGGGTTTGGGAGTGAAAATGCATTGGGAAAACCAGCAGAAAGCGATTTTTCACAGGAAGCTCATCGCGCAATCCAGTCAAGCACAGGAGCACGAAGAGATTCGGGAAGCTCTACTTGAGCTGGGTCAACCCTCACTTGATAAACTCCAAGCTTGGAAGCATAGAATGCAACAGCCTGATGACAAATCCCAGAAGAGTAAGTGGATTGGTGACGTTTGCAAATGGGTCAGGGCCCCGACCCGCAAACCCCCCCCTTTTATCAAAACAAATGACGGTTGGACCAAGACCCCTCAAGACACGGTGGATGTCATTCGCGACTTCTTCGCTACGGTCTACCAGCATGATGATCAGATGTCTTGGACTGTGGGCAACGGCAATCACGAAGTCCCTACTGAAATGTGGAGTGTCCATCACCTCAATCGAATCCTCAGAAACGGAAAAGGTGTCTCCTCGCCGGGACTAGGTGGATGGACCTATGCGCATTTCAAGCAGCTACCGCAGAAGGGCGTAGATTTTCTGCACAGCCTTTTTATGCTCTGCGTTATTTGCGGAAGGGCTCCCAAGCATTGGCTCAATGCTAAGCTTGTGGTTATCCCAAAAGGTGACGCTGGCTTTGATCTCGAAGCCCTGAGGCCCATCACTATTGAAGTTACGGCTCTACGTATTTTCCACAAGTGGCTATTGAAATGCGGTGAAATCTCCTTCGACAACCTCCCTGAGAACATCATTGGGGGTGTACCTCGGCGCAGTGGGTATCAAGCATGGCTGCACGCCTCTCTATCCGTTGAAAAATGCCAGAATGAGACGCATCTCTCATTTCATGGTGTCGCAATCGACACTGTCAAGTTCTTCGATTGTGTCCCGCATTGGCTTGCTTGTCAAGCCTTATCCGAATGGGGTATGCATCAAGCTGCAGTTGGCACTTGGATTCATTCCATCAGGCACATGAGGAGATTCGTTTCAACCTCCGGCATAGTGGCCAGGCGGCCTGTTCTTGGAACGATCGGGTTGCCTCAGGGCGACCCCATCAGTATGGCTGCTGCTAGCCTTGTGCTGGCGGTTTGGTCAAGAGATCTCCACAGCGCTGTGTACAATTATGTTTATGTGGATGATAGGCTTCTTTTCACTGAAAGTGACTCGAGTGAACTCCAACATGCCTTTGGACGCACTGAAGCTTGGGATACGCTTCATAACTTCCGCACGCAAATTAAGACGTGTCAAATCAGAGATGCGAAGAAATCCACACCGCTTTGCTGGCGGGATGGACAAGTTGTCAAGGAAGTCAAATCGGTCGATTACCTTGGCGTTCCCCTGGCTATTGGGCTCTTCTCCTCTAAGACTTGGTTTGAAAAGAAAATACACCGAGCTATTACCGCGCTGCAACTGCTTGCAAGGGCCAACCAACCTGCGGCCACTACCAATATGATTGTCCGCACGGTCATTATTCCTATGCTTACGTATGCAGGCGCTACACTGAGACCGACTAAGGATCAGCTCAGGCAGCTTCGCACTGCTATTCGTACGGCGGCACACGGGAGCAAGCTTGGGACCTTTTCGGCTCGGATTCTGTTTCAGAAAAACTACTTGCTTATGGACCCTGAGTTTTTCTTTGTTTGGAGAAACCTGCTTTTCTGGAACAATCATGCCTTCAAGAAGCGCGCCTTCAAGGACGCTGTGATTCAGAGCTGGGAGAAGGTCCTTCCCTCTATCAAAAAGATTGGCCCTGTTTCCCAGCTTAAAAAGGATTTGGAATATCTGCAGCTTCATTTGAACGTTGACAACTTCCAAGTTTGCAACAATGAGGGTAGACTGCTTTGGACCTTTGGAAGTGGAGACTGCAAAGTTATGAGCAAGGCTCTTAGTCATTCCTTCCGTAACAAGATTGCCTCAGAGTTGGAACAATGCAACTCCTCTTGCTGGAAGGGGATCGGCAACCACGATTTCAGCACGACCACTGCGCTTCTTCACTTATTACCTGAAGGGCACCCGGTGCAACAAAAGCTCATCCGGGTACTGATCAACGGGAGTAATTCCTTCCACACGCAATTTGTCAAGAAGTTCACTGATACTCCAGAGTGCAGAGAATGTAGACACCATGATTCTTTTTATGGCGCACCTGTTTTGGGAATGCCCTGTCTGGGCCGATCTGCGCAGTCAATGGGATGAAGGTTGGGAATCCTGGTCTCGGTGGAGCCCCTGTTCTCAACACCTTCTTGTGTTCTGTAAAGACCTCCCCCCCAGGCTTCAGGCTAAATGGGGTACTATTCAACGACAAGCGGTTGATCTCCTGGGTAAGTGGGAAGCTCGTCACCGCGATCTCCGTGCAATTGATTACAATATTCAGCTGGATCATGCTCCGGTACAGTCTGATCGTGCTGATCAACAGCACGCTCAGCCGGAAGATATCTATTTGCTCAGCTCCCCCTTTCACAGCCACGTTGTATTTAAGAGGGGACAATTCTTGACTATCGACCCTGACATGATGGCGGTCAAAGCCAACCTTTGGTATTGGGGTGGTTGTATTGAAGACTTCCACCTTCTTCGGGGTATGCTTGACTGGTGCATATTTGACAAAGGCAAAGCCGGAGCCCTCTCAAGGAGGCATACTTGGATTGAGGCCTTGCTGCTCTTCATCTTTATTGCAGGGGACAAAGCGCCCTTCCTGCGTAAGATCAAGACTGCTCGCGAGGCCCAGTGGAAGACCCGGATGTTATGTATGGGTATTCTCAAAATGCAAGGGATCCCAATTGATGCTGAAACCGAGCCGGACATGTTGGAGCTGTGTCAATCTTGGCCTCCGCTGCCGACGTTGCCCTTCGGGCTGTTGCTTCCACGGCACGACGGCATCAACATCGGACTGAAAGTTCTGGTCAACTTGAACGAGGAATACCTTATGCTGGGTAAACCGCTGCGCAAGCTGTACGTCACAATGGATCAGGTTGGGACATCTATCTCCTGTTGGAGGTATTTGCCCGTCTTTGCCTCCCTGGTGGTACGGACTCGTTTGAATGATAAGAAGGCGGGCCCTGTTCTTCCCGGCTTGAACCAGGTCCCCGACCGCCCTTGCGTCGACTTTGATGCCCTGACTTCAGTACCGGAGCGTATTGATGCCTGCAAGGTTCTCTTGAGAGAGTTTCTCCTTGAGAAGGTGCCTCTCGACTTCTTGTCGGGGTTGGACGCCGAGCAACTGCGTGAAGCTCTCGGCAACTCCTCTGTGCGAAGACTTCGGTTTTGTATAGGTCGAAGGAAACATCTTATGACCGGGTGGGCTAGTCGCCTGGCTGGTGCCCCCGGGCTTTCCCACTGTTATAGCGCCGACTGGGACCCTTGCGAGCCGCGCTGCGTGCTCTGTGGTTTCACGGTCCCTTGGACCTCGGCAGGCTTTGCCGGATGCCCCCGTGCAAAGTGCAATATTCTGAGTTTATTCTGCCTTCGGCCTGTGAGGCAAGAGTCGCTGAACTTTCCTCGCAGGTCGGCATCCTCGTGGCCCTTCTTTCGCTTTTAGGGTTCACTCCATGACTCCCAGGCAATGCCCTGGAGGATAGACAGCGCCGCTACCGCCAGCCACAATCAAAACCTGGGTAGATGGAGGTTGGTAAGGGAGACTCCCAGCCATAAATAGTTGCGGCCGCCTTCTTAATTCTTCACATGGTTCTGGGTAGACCATTTGAAGACCAGGTTTTTATTATGACTCAACTGGTCTCTGAATCAGTGTGCAGATGAGTGCCCAAACCTGAGTGACATTTAGTTCTATTACACAGAGCCATATAGGCCTTACAACTCTGACAACACTCGTCGAACCAGCTACTACGATGGCCCGTTTCTTCCATTTGCTTAAGAATATGTTTTTTTCCTCTGTTGGTTTTGAAAGGAATCGATTTCACTACTGGAAATATGTTTTAACTTTTCCCGGGGGCTGAAGCAAATGAAGGTTTTAGGATCTCTTTTTGCCGCGTCTTCCAAGCCGCACAGGCGCACTGCGTTTCGGAGTGGTCCCACAACTTCCGGCCCGACTACCTGCGCTTGAGCGAGTATCTTCAGGCGAGTGTCGGAAATAGTCACAATTGGTTTGAATCTGAAGTTGGTGGATTCCCTTCACCCCCTGGAACTCGCTCCGTCTCCAACTTTCGTCACTTTTTGGGGCTGGACCATTTTAATGGCAAATTCGCAGTTTGGACTTGTTGTTGGCCAATCTACTCTGGAAGTGAGACAAGCAAAATTCAAAATGAAGGTTCCACTGGCAGTTAACCCTTCATAAGCCGTTTTTAAGAGAAGTTCCTGAGAGGTTTAGCGCTCTGCGGACGGCCAAGTTGTTTTCCCAAGCGCCAGGGGGCCCTGCAAGCGCGACGCCTGCTGGCGCTCACGGCCACTGCGACCAAGCCCACGGTGCAGTCGGTGTGCGACCGGATGCGGCCGCCTTTTTTGGATCGAAAGAAATGCATGGTCCAGCCCCAAAAAAGGAAAGTCCAGGAACTCAGGGAAAGAGATACCCCAAGACTAGTGCCTATGCATTGTATACGCAGAGTACACCCCCCAAGCCACCCGGGGAAGCTTCTAGGGGTTGATTCCGATTCCATTCTTTTCAACCATCATTATTTCCAAAAACCGGATCTGTTTTTGCTGGGGATCTGACGGTTTTCTGGAAAGAAGGATCCCGTGGAAAGAATGGGGAAGTGTCTCAGGGAATGCCCGGCTGTCTTTTTTTGGGTAACCCCCAGATGATGGGTGTCCTTTTGGTGCCTGCTTTTACCCATGAGAACACTGCAGAGAAACCAGTAGATGGGCTGTCCTTTTCGAGGTTGGAGCCCCCCCAAAATGGCCTCGGTGTTCCTTTTGGTTTCACATTAACCCCGCCAAAAGGGGTTAACTTTAGGATGGCCTTTGTTTCTTTTCTCCCGAGGGTTTCTTGGACGTTCAAGCTACGTGAGGTAACTCGGTTAGAACCATGGGGGCGATCACGGGATCAGGGGACGACCCCACTTATATGGCCTTGAACATCCAAGAAACCATCGGGAGAAAAACAACGACCATCCTAAGGACTCACTTCCTGAGTTCATGAACTTTAAGCTGTTTTGGAAGACCATTTTAGTGGTAAATATAAAGTTTGGACTTTTTCTGGGCCATCCACTCAGCCAGTGAGAAGTTAACCCCTTTTGGGGGGGGGGTTTAATGTGAAACCAAAAGGAACACCGAGTTGCAAAAGTTTGGGGAGGCCTTTTGGGCGTGTCTTGTTGGGCTGCCTTTGGGTGGGTCTAAAGGGCCTTTTGGCCCAAAGAGCAGCACCGGGGATTCGTCCCCGAAGGAAGACACATCCATATTTTCCCCTGAAAACAACACCGGTACCAAGGGACCTCACCTTCAAAGGGCCGAACATGCGATGTTCAATGCGATGTTCAAACAGTTTTCCATCTGATGGGTCAAAATTCAACCAGTTTCCATTTACCTGGTTGCATGTTGGGTACCTTTTTTTGACACGCAGCCATATTTCCCCCTTTGTCAGTGCTTTCAGTTGCCACTTGAGTGGGTAGCCAGGTAGTTTGAACTCTACGTTTTACATCATGGTTTACCCTGGCTACACACTACAGTGTTGGGAGCACTGGGTTTTAGATGGTGTTAATGGAAAACCAAAAGGACACCAACAGTATGGTGTCCCTTGCTCCGTAGGTTGTCACGTTCCGTCTTCGACTACCCCGTAGACTTCGACCAAGGGGCCTTTGGGGAAATCAACTATCTTTAGTTACCCCAGCATTTCAGAATCCCAACCCAAAATGGCTGGGTTCGTTCATGTTCGTTCCGTTTCGGCGCTTTAGGGCTGGATGTTTTTTTGCCGGAAAAAGGCTTTCAAGTTGCCTTTTGCTGAGCACAAAAAAACAGGTACCTTCACTTCCTGAGTTCCTGAGTTCCTGAACTTCAGACATTTGGAGTTACTTGTGACGAACGCCAGTCCCAGAACATGTGTTTTATCCTAAAACTAACAGGGATGTCTGAACCCCCCATGGAAAAAAGGCGCTAAAGGTCCAACGCGTTTTGTGAGACTCAGCTTCTCTGTAGGTGTTTTGGACTGGTGGCTTTGGAGGCGTTCCGCCCCAGTGACTGAAGTTCGACACGGATCTCAGAGAGGGAGTAAAGGCACCACTGGTAGTAGTGGGAAACCAAAAGGAGAGCAAGAGGCAGTATGTTTACCCCTTTTTGACCTTCCGTTTTCGACCCCACGGAAGACTTAGACCAACTTTAAGGATCTTTTGGGAAATCAACCAACCCCATCTCTCATGCAGAATCCTTTCTCCAGAAAAACCTCCCGACTTTTCCGGAAGCCCATTTTAGAGGTTCATAAAAGTTAGGTATAGTTCTTTGGCCAGTCCACTTCGCAAATGAGTCTTGCCAATCCAAAAATCCGGTCTGCGGAGTTGTTTTATATGTATATATATATATACAGTTATTGTGTCTTCTTTTTGTTTTTTGTTTTTCCGCAGGACATCCTTCAGCTGGAGCGCGTGGTGCGCTCGGATCGCAGCTTCTCGGTGCCGGAGCTGCTCGCGGAGAAAGCGCAGATTCGGGTGCAGCGCGCGCCTCGCCTCCGCGAAACGCCTCACGGAACGTCTCGCGTTTGCGGGGTTTGGCGGTTGCGGCTTTGGCGGATTTTTGTTGTTTTTGTTTGTCGGGGGTTAGTTTAAAGGAAACCCGGGGGGTTAAAGGAAACCCAAAAGCAACCCCGCCAGGTTTAATTGTTGTTTCTCCCGCTCTCTCTCTCTCTCTCTCTCTCTTGTTGTCTTGTTCTTTTTTTTTGGGGGGGGGTCCCGTAGTTTAGGACAAGCACATGGGTGTTCGAGGATTTGGCTGGCGATTAGTTTGAGGGTCCATGGAGCTGAAGCACCCCAAGCAGAAAGGACGGTCGCACCGGACCGATCCCAGTGATGTTGGACCTCATCATCTTGGAATCTTGGGCCTTGAAAGGAATCCCTGTTTGAGGCTTAGGGTGATATTCAGGTGCACTCTAACTGGTGGTTGGGTAGAGGTTTATAGAGGTCCAAGGGAGAAACGATTGGGCCTTTAAAGGATCAAGATCCCGTTTGATGCTTCGGGCAGTAGATACTAAAATCGCATCGGCGGCGTCCCTCACCTCCAGTCGCCATCTATGTCGCCCCTGATATGAGGCGTACTTGCCCGATTTGACCTGTTTTGACCTGCCTCGAGTCTCCATGACCCTTAAAAGATGGTTGGTCAATGCCCCAAAATAAGTGCTGGTCATTGACCCATTTTTATTTCGGGTCAGAAGGAGACCCCAGGTGTTCGTTTCTCCTGTTTGGTTCCTTTTTAGCAAAGGCCCCAAAGGGTCCCTAAAGCTTTATACAACTGAGCAGGTGTCCAGGCGTCTGAGAACCCAGTGCGTCCAGGCATTTCGCCACAAGGGGTAATATTTTTCTGGGTTTCTTATCATCTTTTGCATGATGGTTTCTCGTGGTCACCTAGTCTAGGGGGCGAAATTGTTACTACTAGTTTAGTCCTACAAGCATGACCAGATGTGTTTTTAAGGTACCATAGACAAGATTCCCATCATCTGCATGTGGCTTGCCAATACCACTCCACGAATCCAGATGTGACGACCAAGCATGAAGCGGAATCTGAGCATGTATTTTGTGGTGTAACTTCCCTTGGGCCAAGCTTCAGGTCAGTTCGTGCTGTTTTGCATGTTCATGGACTCCACTGTTTTCGGTTTTCTGGGGAAACCATCATGTAACACCTAGAGGTTGCCATACCGAAGAGTTAGCTACTATAGTGGTAACTGGAAGCACTGGGTGGTGTTCCCCCAAGAACACGGGGCTTCTGTTGTTTCCAATTGGTTTGGTAGATTCGGATTCCCCCAAGCCGCGGGGTTCCTCTTTCTTCCCGACTTCCTGTTTGCATGGAGTTTAATCCATCTACCTCTAGGTAGCCAACGAAACCACCCGATATAAAAAAAACCAAAAGGAACATAAATTAGTTACCTACTACATGGGTTTGCCTGGGATCCAGGGGTTGTCCTCTTCGACTCGCTCCTCTGTTGGACTTTAAACTCGAGGAGACCATTTGAGCCATTTGCTGAAAGCCAGGGTAAGTGAAGGATAGTAAGGGACACTCCCAACCATAATATATATATATATATATACATATATATATATATACATATATGTATATATGGGTGTGTGCGGCCTTACATGGTTTTGGGTTCACGATTTGTGTGCCAGGTTTTGATTTTGACTCGTTCTGACTCATTTGAGTCAACCGAAAATTTGGGACGTCTGCGCAATGGAAGCTGAAAGGAGTCACTGAGCTGCAAGCGAGTCGATCGGGAAATCTGCCCCGTATCACATTCCGAGAAGCTGTCCTGCACCACTTTGCCATGGTTGAAACCAAAACGGAAACGTTTGGTTGTGTCCTTTTGGTTGGGTCGAAAAATAGAGGGCGATTCCTGGTTGACCTGGTGGTTGAATCATCTACCAGGGAAACCCATCTATTTCCCCTAAAAGGACACCTATGGCAATGGATTTCCCAACGTTTGTTTGTATTTACAGGGGAATCATGATGCCAGAATGTCTTAGGTGGGCCGCAACGGATTTCTCCACCCGCACCAAAACCGGGGGCCGGCCAACTCCACCGATGGGACCCGTTTTCCCTGGACAGGCCAATCTGGCCATGGACATCCGCAACGTGCCGGACCTTTGGAGGGCACATGGGTGCGTCTTTTGTGGTGCCTGGAGTCTCCGAATCTGACCCGAATAAAAAATGGGATACGTCCTTACCCAAAATCATCGTTGGTCACTTACTCATTTTGTTTTCGGGTCAGAAGGAGACTCCAGGTCCTCCTTTACTTGCGGCTTTAGAAAGCACACCAAAAGGAAGCTGAAAAAAACATAGTGTTGACCCCCTGATTCAGAAACCCCTGTTTATTCATATGGGGGGTGTCCCTGGTTTTAGTGGGGATTCATCACTTATTACACCGGGGTTCATAATATTGGATTCAACATTGCCCAAATCTGAGTGACACACAATACCTGCCTGGGTTTAAGGGAGGGATCGCAGAAGAAACAGGAAATGGATGACGTGTCAACCACTTGACGGATCACAAACGAGCAACATGTGTTTTTTGAGGATACCCTTTTTGGGATGTTTTCAATTAAAGGGAAACCAACTGGAAAACACCACCGATCTTGGCGTTCCGCTTGAAACTGACTCACCCAAATGGCCGTTTCCAATCACCTGCCTTCTACCGCCAGAAATCGATTGGGGGCCTACCCAAAGCCGATACCCACCTGCGAAACCGAAAAGGAATGGTGGACCCAAAACAGACACCCCAGCAATATTTTCCCGACCAGGGGCATGGCCCGATCATTGGGGCATTTGCCAGCGAGCTCATCCTTTTCCCGATTGTTTTTTTTGTTTTTTTCCTGGTGGATGGAGATGATGCATTGCGGGGGAGGAACCCTGATGATTATAAGGTGATTTGAACATTGTTAAGCACTGCGTTTGCCTGGCATGATTGAATGAGTTCCCTTTGCTGGGAGGTTTTTGTGGGTTGGGTATGTATGGAACCTGCAAACCTCATCTTGTTTTGGTTCTGAGTTCACTTAAGCATCCCGTCTACAGGTGTCTTGCAAGGGAGGGGGCAACCATTGACTTGGGGCGCTCCTCAGTTCCCTGCAACCAACTTTAGAGTTTTGGGGGGTTGATCAAAAGGTCCGATCATGGGATGACCAGGGAAACCACCAAGCAAGATGAGATCTCCCTCTGAATGGGGCAAGTTACCTTTGGTGACTTGTGGGCCAGGAATGTTGATAACCCCCTTTTTGTTGGTTTCCCTTCACCAGAAGCCAAGTTTCTCACCTGCGGGTACGGCTCATGGAGCCACTTTGATCACCGTTTGGCTACTGTCAAAGCTGGGATGATGACTTGGTGGACACATAATGTCGATGGACAAGCTCCGACCCGCACCACTTGGAATTTGTGGTTTATCCCACTGTTCATTGGGTGTCGTCTATGACTAAAGCAGGATGTTGTCCAACAGCCAACTTAATGGGGCGCGCAATGCGCACAGCAGATGTTTGCATTTCTCGTACACCAACCCCCTAAGAAGCCAGCTACTCGAATTCTGCAGGAAACTCACCAAACAACTTGGCTTCGTTGTGCCAGCGTCTGCTAGAGTTTCCTTTAGCTAGTTTCCTTTGCAACCCCAAAACGGAAATCGATATGCTAGGTCACCCAGTAGTGCCCTTCTACCCTTTTTGGGGGAGGGTTCCCCTACTAAAATAGGCTACAAAAGCAAGTTGGTACCCTTAATCTAACCTCTCTACTGGAGGACCTAGTATTCCACTCCAAAGGCGCCCCGTATCTTCCCAGGTCTTGCAAGTTTCCATGCAATCGCTGGGAGGATATGAAAGGCCCAAGATGCCATAGAGACAAGGGAGAATGTTGGCAGTCTGTTGCTTTGGGAGGACATGTGGGGGTTGGCAACCTCGGCCACAAAGCCAGCAAGCCCACTCAATGAGTCCGGGTGCTTGTAGGAACAAGTCATTTTCTGTCATTTGCTTAGGAATATTTGTTGTTTATTTTCGCATGTTGGTTCAAATAGGAATTTATCACTTGGCGTCGCTTGGCAACTGCCCATTGGCAGGCCCAGGTGACACGGCAAATCCAATCCAATCCAATTCAATCACGAATAGACATATTTTCATTTTTTTCCGGGGTTCTTAACCAAATGGAAATTGAATGTTGTCCGCCAGCAGGGAACGACGTTGGAGACCCTCACCAAATGACTATACTAGAAAATGGGCGTTCGCCAAGGACCAACATGTGTGATTTCCCCTGGTGGCTTTAAAGGGAATCAATCATGACATGTGCTTCTCCTCCCAGGGACGTGTTTCCAGGGACGTGACCCCATTTTAAGCAACCCCAGTTTATGGGGCCTCCCTGGGTTCAGTGCCGAATTAGACCACTGTTGGAAGGAGTGGGTGACCTAATTTATAGTAACGAAAACGAGCTACTAATAACGTAAGCATATTTTGATAACGAACAGAAAACTAAACTAAACTGGGTTGATTCATTTGGGCTCAACACGTTTCATGGAACCCCAACCACTACACCCAAAAAAACCTTAAGAAACAAACCAAGGAACCAGATGGGGTCGTCAGGAAGAAGTCTTCCTCTCAACCGGGTTTTCGGGGCTCGCTCGCCAAAACCACCGGCGAGGACGTAGATCTGCAGCTGCGGGAGATCATCAAAGTTCTGCGTACGGAGGCACGCCGGCGACGTTTTGTCACCCAAGTTCCATGAGAACTCAGTGGTTCCCAGCCTGGAGTCTCCATGACCCTTAAAAAGTGGGGTCATTACCCAAAATAATGGTTGGTCATTGACCCATTTGTGAATGGTCATGGAGACTCCAGGTATTCATATTGTTTTGTTGGAGGGTACCCTTTTTGGGGTGGAGTTTTAGACACCCAGAATGCATAGATGAACTTGGTGGCAAGCCCAGGCATCCGCTTTCTTAGCTTGTTGTTTACCCAGCTCCAATTTGATTGATACAGGGTGCCTCGGAACAGCCAGGTTTTGAGACCCCGAAGCACCAATTCCCGGGGTGTCTAATGGATGGGCCGGGTCTTCCCTTGAAAGCCCCAGGAGCCTCTGGGTAGCTTGTTAGTTGGTATAGTGGTTGGATTTCCGTATTTCACCTGCTAAAAGTTAGACTTTTAGCCGGGGATCTGAGGGCAGCCCAGAGAACCAAGAAGATGAACTCCGGTGATGTGCCCTCCACACCCAGTGCTTCCAATTGCCACTATAGGCAGGGGAAACCGTCACGAAAGAAAGAAGCAGCTAAGCAACCCCCCAGAAAAATACCTACTCCGGAGATGTGCCCTCCAAAAGTGATACAAATTCCCGTTGGTTTCAGCTTCAACCAACCCAAAGAAGGGGTTATCAAAAAACCGTTAAAAGAAGTGGAGTTCGAGTGGGGGGTTTGCTGGACTTTAGCAACTTTGTTGGGCTGGACCGTTTTACTGGTAAATAACAAGTTTGGATTTGTGTTGGCCCATCTACCAGGGAAGTGAGTGAATGAAGAGGATTGAGTTTACCCAAATTAACTCTTTCCATTGCTCTTATTCCTTTGATCACTTCTTCATCCATCATTACAACTCCAAAAGCGGAAACATAGAAGAAGACAAATACCAATCGATGGAAGAAATAAATGTCAAAAAAATATAATGCGATACTGGCGATACTGCAGCACTATTCAATTTGCAAGCCAAGAAACATACAAGACAACAGGAAGGACCGTAAAGTGAAGAGCAAACAATATTGTGATGAAAGGTTGTCCTGGAGATATAACAACATGTGATGAAAGAAGGACTTTAAACTTTTGGGGCTGGACCATTTCAGTGGCAAATAGCAAGTTTAGGTACTTTTGTTTTGCCCATCTCGTTCGGAAGTGAGAGGGGGCGGGGATTCACAGATGCAATTTCACCAATTCTGGCAGCCCGCGGCGGCCATGTTAGCGAATCGATCGCCTGCAACCAACGTCCAACTATGTTTGGTTTTGGACTTTTTGGAATCTCCATGACCCGTCAGAAATGTGCCATTCCTCAAAATACAGGAATCGCAGGGGAACTGTTCTAGTTGTTCTTGCCAACACGCTTATGGCACCGAAAGCACATGGCAGCAAATGTTTGAAGGGTCACTAGGAGACTCCTTATAACCATCTACTTGCCAAGTTGGTTGAACACCCAAGTTGGTGCTTGATCTCAGGGACACTTCACCTTCAACAAAGCCAGACGCCGAAGCCAGATCATAGCGACACGACTCCAGGTTCAATTGGCTACTACCTTTTGCCACGATTGCCCCACGGGATCCTTACGGAGAATACATTTGCGGATTTGAGGAACCTGTATTTGACGAATCAATCCCCTTGCACCAAACCCAAAGCCGGAAAAATGTGGGGTACCATTTGGGAATTTCCGGGACCAGTTGTTTCTATAGTGGTTTTGTTTGCTGGTTCTCAGCAGAGAATGAGGGAACGACCCCTGTAAACCATCAAGGGAATCCCCTTCTGGTTCATTCCCAAACCCTGGGCCATTCTCTGCCTATCGCACCAGCAAGTTGTCCAAAAGACTCAGTCTTCCTTAGCCAAGATTCAGGAAATCAAGGCCCTCTTCTGCCCTCATATTTGGCCGTGGCTCGAAAAAAGGTACAGTACCTAACATGGCACCTTGGTAAATGGAGCCAAAGACTAAAAAACCTGCGGTTTGCCCTAGGTCCTTTATTTTTTCAGCTTTGACCCAGTTAGGGTCCAAGGGGCTTTTTTGTTGTTTCAGGTGAACCCAACGGACTCCATCATCATCTACGTTTGGCGCCGCGTGACGGCGGACCAGCTGGCCAAACAGCTCCGGCCCTACGTCAAAGGCTGCCGTGGCGGGTGGGACGGTTGGGGTTGGGGTTGGGGGGGGGGGGTCAAAGTCTGAAATCAGGTTGCCCCCAATTGATGCTAGGTCCCCCGCTAGGTGCTCCTTCTCACCCTTTTTTGGGGGAGGGTTCCCCTACTAAAATAGACCACAGAAAAAAGTTGGTACCCTTACTCTAACCTCTCTGGAGGACGAGGGGGTTTTGGACCCGGTTTGAGATTTGAGCCCCTTCTGGGTACATGGGAAGCCAGCCCAGAAGGGGAGGCTGAAATTGGGTCTTGAACTAACCACTTAGGGGGCGACTTGGACAATGCTTAAATCGTGGGGTCGGTGGACAAAGAAGAAGACCTGGTTTTGTCCACCTCACTTCCTGAGTTCATGAACTTTTTGGGAAGACCATTTTAGTGGTAAATGTACAGTTTGGACTTGTTTTGGGCCATCCACTCAGCCAGTGAGCCACCTGTCAGCATGTGTTCTTTCGCAAAACGGGGGGGGGGTGTCTTAAAACAGGCACCCAACATGGTAGCACTTCCTGTTGGGTTCCGTTTGAACCCACCCCACGAAATACTCCCTTAAAAGAAATGATTCGGGTTCCACAACTAGTGTTTTGCTTGGTGTGTTTTTAAGAACAACGATTAGCATGGTGATGACCAGGGTTTTCATCGGGCTTTGCTGTTGAATTTCATCAAACTCATCCCTTTGACATGCTTTCGTTTGGGAGGGTGAAGGTCCTTCGTGTTTGGGGTGGCTCGTTGGACTCAATGTTGTTTGTGTGTACCGCCTAAGCATCATTGGACCCTCTGAAGGGTCGAACCGGACCTCCATTTCGACCGACCATATCCAAGCGATCTTCGAGCGTTTCGGCTTAGCTTCCATCATCCCCTGGTTGGTTCATGCGAGCAGCGGTCTAAATTCGTGGTGGTCTTGCAGTTGGTTAGAGGACATGGGCAGACAGCCAAGATGTCCACAAAATGGAGGGGGACACGCCAATGTTGTCATGTCCAAGATGTTCCGTGGGTGAGTCACGTGTGGTATTTGGTGATTTGTGTGCAGGGTAAGGTACAGACCCCATGTTTGGTAACACACCAAGGGTGGGAAAGATAGGAGCGTGAATTTTCTTCTGGGACCCTTTGGTGGATATCATGCAGGTTGAAAGTCATGTCGGACACTAAATTATCACACATCCTATATTGGCCAACCGCCTCCTCTTTTTGCAACTCGAGGCCAGGCCAACACCCCTTTTTCTAGGGGTTGCTTCCCCATTATTTTTAACCATCATTCTTTCAACAAAAACTGCCGTTTCCCCTGGGTTTTCGGTGGTTTGTCTAGAAAGAATAATCCTGGAAAGGATGGGGAAGGTACCCCTAGAACAATAAGAGTATGTCCAGTGACAGTTTCCCTTTGGAACCAACATCAACCAGTACGTAGTCAACGCACATGGAAGATTCGCAAGTTTCAGGGACATCCCTGCCAAACGCTTGAGGCAACCCAAGGCTCTCAAGCAAATGGAAGCTACCCCTAAACTTTTGGCAAATCCCATTCCAGGCGGGATCTCCGCCTACCACGGCAGCATGCTGCCGGAGGCGCGGAGCGCGGTGCAGGGCAACTTCATGGGCGGCGCCTCGAAGCGAAAGGCGAGAGGATCGAGCTGCGTGCGAAAGCCAAGCGGGGCCAAGCCACGGTTCTACCTGGAAACGGCACTGGTTTGACCCACTGGGAAAAATATGGCTATATACCATTTTGTACCCATTACGTATTCAAGATGTTTTTCACACCTAGCTAAGAAATATGGCTATATACCGTTCGGGAAATATGGCTATTTACCATCTAGGTCCCCCAGCTAGATGCCCGACCTCTCACCTTTTTCTGGTTGGGAGGGTTCCCCTACTAAAATAGACTACAGAAAGAAAAGGGTGCCCTTATTCTAACCTCTCTACTGGAGGACCTAGGTACCCAATATGAATTTTAAGATGACTTTCACACCTAAGGTTCGGTTCAACCCCCCTTACGAGAATTTAGAGGACCCAATTTAGATGATGACAATCCCTCACTTCCTGAGTTCATGAACTTTAAACTTTTTGGGAAGACCATTTTAGTGGCAAATACAAACTTTTCTTGGGCCATCCACTCAGCCAGTGAGATCCTTAAACTATGGTCGTTCCATGAACCCCCCATTGTTCTAATGGTTTGAACCCCCGGGTTCGCTGGGTGTTTGCCCGAGTGAGGAAGTGGTGAGCCGCTCGGAGTTGTCCATCTTCTGTAGCAAGGTTATCCCCAGGGGACTTATAACAGGGCGCCTTAAAAGATAGTTTTTGCCCAGTTGAAACATGGCTTTTTCCGCCAACATAAGGGGAAACCACCATTGACAAGGCAATGTTCAGGTGTATAATGTAAAAATCCTGCAGTGGATGGTAACCTGGGCTGCCAACAACCCCAACTTGGTCGTGCACCCAACGCGGCGTTCTCGGAAGCTTCCCCTGGGTGGTTTAGATCGGGTTGGAGGTTTAGATCGGGTGGTTTGTTCGGGGTTTGGGGGTTAGGGAGAAGTTGAGGAAAAAAACATATGACTTGCCCAAAGCGAATTGACCAATTGACCTTTCGGCTTCTGATTTGGGTCCTGAAAGGTGATCAATGAATTCTGGGCCCTGTTCGTGTACCAGAAGCCACTTTTCGATGTTTGGAAGCCTTGATTGCTATTCGGCCTATGGTGAGATTCCTCCAGGGTTCAAGAGGGACACATCACTGTCAATGGACACCCGATTCGCAGCAGTGGACCAACATGCACCCTGCCCTTCAGGGCCCAGGGTTTTGTTTAATCCTGTGGTTGGTGTCCTTTTGTGTCTTTTTCTCCATTTTTTGGGTCGTTTCTCTGGATTTCCTGGGAGCCACAGGCTGTCTTCTTGTAGTCGACAGGCTTTGTAGAGAAGAAAATGGTCACAGGTTCTTTTGTTCGAGATTGCTTTTGAGAATTTAGATGTTTTTTAATTGAAAAGATACGGGTTCCCTTCGGGCACATAAATACAGCAAATGACCACGAAGCCGCCTTTCGAGCAAATACGGGCCTATCACACGGCCTTTGGCCGAAAAAGGACCGGCCGTTCGGGGCAAACAAGTTGGTTTGGTTCCTTTTCCTGTACCCCTTTACTTATGGTTGAAGTCCCTTTCTGTCCAAAAAGGGGAGTTCTCCCTAAGGCTCGCTAAGGAGCCTAACCCCATACCTTAAGGAACCCTAGGGCTCAATACCCACCCCACTTTGTACCTACCCCGGGTTCCGGGGTTCCACAATTGACCTGGAGGTTCAAAAAACACCGTCGACCAGAATCAAACACTCTCAAATCCTGACCCCAAAGCATCACATCAAACCCCGCAAATTGACTCACTTCCTGAGTCATGAACTTTAAACTTTCTGGGAAGACCATTTTAGTGGTAAATATAAAGTTTGGACTTTTTTTGGGCCATCCACTCAGCAAGTGAGCGAATCAAGAACTCCCATCAGCAAAATCACGACATGTCATCAAACCCACCAACAACCTATCAACCACCGGCAAAGGGTGTCGAGATTTGCGGATGTTTGTCAGAATCTGTTGACAATTACCCTAGTTCTCACCACACCCCAACCCGAGCCAGACAAATCCAGGGCTTGCTTAGATCGACCCGGACCATCCAAATGGACTAGGGTTGGTCGGGAGGGAAAACTGGGTTGCTTGGACGTGACCTCGGAGTTTGGTGACAAAGGGGATCCATCAACAGACTCCGACCACAAAAGCATCGCAAAACATATGAGTACCCAGGGGAGAAGTGTCCAAAATCCGCAACTGTCAATCTCAAAAATCCGCAAATCTCAAGGGAGAGAAACTCTGAAAAGCCGAAAGCGGGAGGCTTCTGGTAGCCCGAGGGAGGAATCCAGGGGTTGCTTGGAGCTGCTTCTGGTCGCCGAGGCAAGATCCGCGTGGTGGTGGCCACAGTAGCATTTGGCATGGGCCTGGACAAGCCGGACATCCGCATGGTGCTGCACTATGGGCTCCCCAAATCCATCGAGCGCCGCGGCCTTCGGCTTTTTTTCTTTTTTTGGGGGAAGAGAACACGTGTGGGAGACTTCCGTTGGTCCTTTTTAAATGGGGTCAAAAATACGTTGACTTCCATTTGCTTATAAGAACATGTCCATTTGTTGGTTGCTTTCTTCTCACTTCCCGAGGTTGCTTTTCTTCTCCCAGGTCCCCCAGCCAGGTGCTTTACCCTTTTTTGGTGGGAGGGTTCCCCCCACTAAAATAGACTACAGAAAAAAACTGGAAAAAGTTGGTACCCTTACTCAATCCTCTCTACTGGAAGAACTTGGATGTTCTGGGACTTAGCTACATGGTTAATTCTTGTTTTCTCGGGGACTTGTTTGGACTTGTTTGGGCCATCCATGGGAAGTGAGTCTTTGTTCCTGTTATTTTGGGACAAACAAACCTATACTCCCGTTTGCTTATAAGAAGCTAGAATATTAAGTGGTTTTGTTCCTCACGTATTGGTTTCACTGCGAATATATCACTACCGGACATATGTTCATTTGTCTCAAGGGGACGCAAACACAAATTTAGATTGAACATCAGCGACCCAAAGAAGCGCGCCATGCCAGCACCCCCCAACAACTGTTTCTTTCCATGTTAAAAATCCGCAAGTACTGTCCAAGAAGCAGTGGTTGGGGGCTGTTGATTGGCAGCCTTTTTATTTTCTGCCACTGTGTCTGGGATGTCAAGTTCAATATATTAAGCTGCTTTTGTTTCCCCCCTGAGGCTTCACAGCGAATCCATCACCAGACTTACGTTCTTTTGTTTCCAGAAAAAGCATGGTAGCATTTTTTTTCTGCCACTGGGTCTGGGATGTCAAAGTCGGTAAGCCCAGTCGCCCAGTGGCGACCTTTTTTTCCTTTTTTGTCGGGGAAGGGTTCCCTTTGACCTTTTTGGGAAGCGTTCCCCTTTCAACTCAACCAACCAAACAAAGCGGCCATGAAAATCCACTGGGCAGCCGAGACAAGCCCCCAAAAAAGGCTTCGGGGCTTGGAGCACCCCTTACATCCAATACCTTCTTCTTTTAGTTGGGATCATGTCGACCCTCTACAAAAAAAAGGGGGTATTTACCATGGACACCCAGTTTTTTTCAATAAAATACCCTAAAACAAGTGGGTATTTGGAGTAGGGGGCAGTCTTCAAGAAGTCCGGAGATTCGGTTTCAGACCGAAGGAACTACATCCAAGAGACTGGGCGTTGCGCCCGCGACGGGCTGCCTGGCAAGTGCATCGCGTTGGTCTGCCCGAAGGACCACGGACCCCCAGTGACCTGCTGTCCTTTTGTTTGCCTTTAAAATGAACCACCGAAAGGCTTGGCTAAGAATTTTGATCTTCGGACTTCAACTTTTTGGGAAACTGTGGAGTTCCAAAGCACCCACAAAAAGAGTTAAACTGTTCAGGGGTTTCAATCGGTCCCGATTCTGAAGTCACCATTTAGAGGGTGATGTCTTTTTGGATGGCCGTGTTTTTCATGGAGCACCACACCGATCCGGGATCTTTACAGGTGTCTTAGTTTGGTTTATTGGCTCATGTGTGTGGCTGGTTTGGCTGGTTTCTGAGCAGTCACACGGCCTCCTCCAAAACCAGACTCTGACGCCCCTGCAGGTTTTGGAATTACACGGGCACATCTGCCTGTGTACATCACATGCATGTACATATATTACATATGTATAGAAATTACACTGTACTTTGCGTGAGTATATTATATATAGCCTATATTCAGATATTTCAGATATTTCAGATATTTCAGATATTTCAGATATTTCAGACATCTCAGATATTTCAGATATTTCAGATATTTCAGATATTTCAGACATTTCAGATATTTCAGATATTTCAGATATTTCAGGCATTTCAGATATTTCAGATAATTCAGATACTTCAGATATTTCAGATATTTCAGATATTTCAGACATCTCAGATATTTCAGATATTTCAGATATTTCAGATATTTATTTCAGATATTTCAGATATTTCAGATATTTCAGACATTTCAGATATTTCAGATATTTCAGATATTTCAGATATTTCAGATATTTCAGATATTTCAGATATTTCAGATATTTCAGATATTTCAGATATTTCAGATATTTCAGATATTTCAGATATTTCAGATATTTCAGATATTTCAGACATCTCAGATATTTCAGATATTTCAGATATTTCAGACATCTCAGATATTTCAGATATTTCAGATATTTCAGATATTTCAGACATTTCAGATATTTCAGATATTTCAGATATTTCAGATATTTCAGATATTTCAGATATTTCAGAAATTTCAGATATTTCAGATATTTCAGATATTTCAGATATTTCAGATATTTCAGATATTTCAGATATTTCAGATATTCAGGAGATTACAGTGTTTTTTCTGTTATTTGAATTATGTTGTAAATTTCAATGAAATGTGTTTGATCATATCAAAATTATCCGAAATTTCTGAAATTATCTGATATGTCTGAAATATCTTGATATGTTCTGAAATATCTGAAATATCTGAAAAAATATCTGAAACATGTGAAATATCTGAAACATCTGAAATATCTGTTTTGTCTGAAATATCTGAAATATCTGAAATATCTGAAATATCTGAAATATCTGAAATATCTGAAATATCTGAAATGTCTGAAATATCTGAAATATCTGAAATATCTGAAATGTCTGAAATATCTGAAATATCTGAAATATCTGAAATATCTGAGATGTCTGAAATATCTGAAATATCTGAAATATCTGAAATGTGTGACACGTATACAAAGTCAATATTTGAAATGTGCGCATCACAAACATATTATTCGTATACGATTCTTTTCCAATCCGGTATATTATTATATTGTTATGTTTGTTTGATTATATTATCACATTAAATTAGTATATTATTAGTATCATCTTATTACATTGTTATATTATTGTATGTTTATTATGATGCTATAATATTATTCTTATTATTATTATTATATTATTATTATATTATTATTATATTATTATTATATTATTATTATATCATTATATATTATTATTTTATTATTCTATTATTATATTATTATATTATTATATTATTTTATTATGTTACATTATGTTTTGTTTTTTGTTTTTTTATATTATTATATTATATTATTATATTATTATGTTATTATATTATTACTTCAGAAAGAGCTTTGACACGCTCTCATGGTTGTACGATTTGTTCCGGGAACATTCCTTTACAAAGAGCTATGTTTGTACTATTTGTTCCGGGTAACATTTCCTTCAACAAAGAGCTATGGTTGGTAGATTTGTTTCCGGGAATCTTTCCTTCAGAAAGAGCTATGGCACGCTCGCATTGGTTGTACGATTTGTTCCAGAAAGAGCTATGGCACGGTTGTACGAGTTGTTCCGGGAACATTCCTTCACAAAGAGCTATGGTTGTACATTTTGTTCCGGGAACATTCCTTCAGAAAGAGCTTTGGCACGCTCTCATGGTTGTACGATTGTATTAATATTTTATTATTATATTATATTATTTTATTATGTTACATTATGTTTCTTTTATTTTTTAAATATTATTATATTATTGTGTTTGTATTTGTTAATATCATTATTATATATTTACTGTTATATTTTGTTATTAGTGTGTCATTTGAGGCGCGTGCTAGAAGCTAAAGTTATTCTGGAGGGCCTGTCGCCATGTCTGATTCAAGCTATAATCTTCATACTGACATTCTGTCATACTATGCAGTACTATGCAGACATATGTTTTTGTGCAAAATCATGCCAGCGTCAGGTGCGCCTGCACCAGCAGTGCCAGGGGGGCTGCCGATTTTCGTCAATGGTGTTGGTGGTGGTGGTGGCAGTGGTGGCGGTGGTGGTGTTCGTGTTGGTCGCAGTGCGAGCGTGGGAGGGAGTCGATGTCGATTCGTCAATGCCGCATCAAGATGCATCCAGGCATCCAGAAGTTCTCTTGGTTTAAAAAGGCTCCGCTTTTCGCCGGCTAATTCAGTATATACTGATGTACAGAGGACGTGTTTGGTTCTAGACAGTGCTACTACTAGCACTGCTAGACTCGTGAATGTGGGGGGGAGGACATGAGGCGTCACGAGGCCTTGAGGCGAACATGCCTTGTTTAGAGTTGGCGGTGTAGCGTGATAGTCTTAGGGGGCAGCGCCCTAAGTTGGTTTATATGTAAGATCAGGCATGCTTACATCATGTGATGTCTCGCATTTGGACAAGGCGTTGCAAGCGTGTGTGTGGCTGATTGTGTGCCTTTGCAGCTCTTCGGTGATCTTGGCGTACGCGCTATTGTACAGAAACTAGTCCGCCCCGGTGTTGCCTACAGTACCATGTCGGGCCCCAAGCAATACCTGACCACGATGGAGGAGGTGTTCCGCTATGTCAATACAGAGTGGACAGCGTGCGGACAGGCAATTGCTGGAGAACGCGGCTTTTCTGCTGTTCACGTGCAGTCAGTTAGGAAAAGCCATCCATCCCTTCCAATCTTTATGTACGCGCTCGCTGGGACTGTGGCGTGCTCAAATGGGGCTTGTTTGCGGCTGTGGGGGGCGCTCAGCCCACTTGCACTGTGGGTGATTAATTGTAATTATTCGCAAACACGGAAGTCTGGACTTGCATCGATCGCTGAGACATATGCTTCGGCTGCGGACCAGCGAGTGCGTCGTGCGTTCCGAGACATCCTGAGCAGAAAGACCAAGGCCCGGGAAGGTGCAGTCGACCAGGCTCCAGTTGTGGCAACGGTGTCCGAGGAGGGCAAGCGGGAGGAGACCCAGTTGGTGCAGCATCAGCAGGATCAGCAGCAAGAGCAAGGGAGCGCATCCAATGGCGCCACGCGCCTGGGCTTGTGGTCCATTGCGTATCTGGGCGGCACAATTGACAGAGCCAAAGAACGCTGCAGCGGAGACTTCAACTTTGTGCAGAACCCAAAGGCCTTCAAGGACTTGCCAGCGCTACCAAGCAGCTCATGCGACGCAGAAGCCGGGGTCAAGGAATCTTCTGGATTATCTGGGCGCACATGGTTCTCTACGTTGCTCCTTTTTGATGAGATCTACGACTTTCTGATGGAGCTTGGGATTTTGGATACGCCCGCCTCTGCGAGCAAGAAGCAAGGGTCAGGCACGGACACGTCTGGACAAACACCCAACTCCGGATGGGCGAACAGGCTGCTACAGTCCGGCATCAGCGCATATGAAACGAAAACCTGCGGCTGTTTCGGTGGACTCCACACACCTACACTCAATACAAGTTTGGCAGGAAATTTCCATCCTGGAGTGGCGGTCGAGATGTTGCGTGGTCTGCGTGGAGACCACGGATGCCAGACCAAGGCTAGATGCTTCTTTATCTCCGGCCCTCCGATACAGCCACACCAAGAATATGAGTCTTTTGGCATTCGTGCCAAAGTGGAGTATTGCTGCTTTCCGGATATCTTAAAGCCGCTACTCGCCCTAGAATGCCTCGATTCGCCAGAGGAGAGTGCCAAGAAGTTCGGGCATGAGGGCGATCTACAGGATGGGAGTGCTGTTTTCACGGACAGTGGTTTCTTTCCCAGCGAAGACGGCTGGAACTACGTTCTGCCTGATGGAGTTGCAACGCACATCAGGTTCAGGAAGACTGAGGATGGCACAGCAATTGCCGAATGGTCTATGGCTGTGAGGGACATTGACGTACCAGAAGAATTTTCCATCCCTAGGGCCGCAGAACGTCTGGCGAGTTTCTTTGCTCATGACCACATGGAGATGGAGTTCACCACCGAAGCGAATCAGCTGTTCAAAAGCTATTGCACGTATTTCAACATCCTGGTGGCTGAAGCGCGCTCTGAGCAGGATATTGGCCTAGGGGCACAGATGGGCGCATGTCCATGGAAGCTTGGTATGCTGTCTGGCGCCTTGATGATGTGGGATATTTCATGGGAGCAGGCAGACGTGCCCGTGTCCCCCACTGGTGGCAACGTGCATTTGGTCTTCTTGAGATCCTCGAGAGCATCGTGGCCATCATGGCCGGACGTGGTGCGTCGTCAGCCTTCTCATCCGTCCACGCAGCAGCGGAGGCCGCTCGCAAGAAGGACGCTTCAGACGAGGATGCCTTGACAGCTATGCTTGCAGAGACGAAGCCACATGGGAACTGGGAGCCACGCGCCCAACATACTGGCATCTTGGACACAGGGTTTTTCAGGCGCTTGCTCACCAAGGGTGAGAGATCCAAAGAGGACGGTGAGGTCTACATTGTCAGGTCACGGTCAGTGTACAATGTGCAGAGA